TTCCTAAGAGGGGAGTGGGAAGGAATTTGGTTTGAGTTGGGAAAATTTTGTAAATATATAAATGAAAATACATTTCATGTTTTTGGAGGTATGACACAAGACTATCTTCCACCAAGCACAAGAGAAATATATTGTGCCTTAGAAACTTTAAACATTTCTGTATAATTTTCAAAGGTCGGATTGCTTTAATTCTCTTTAAGGTCTTGATTTTCTTGTATTTCAGCCAGCATTTTCCAGTGCACAGTAGTGATTTTTTTTTCCTTTTCTCCCCTGTTTTTTGCTCAGTGTAAACAGTTCCTTGCTGTGGTTACACAGACAAATATAGCAGAGAACCCTTTTCTTGGAGAAGATTCTGCCTGTGCATTTTTTAACCATTTTTGGGAAGAATTGATCTATTTGTGCATGCGGGAGAGGGAGGCAGTAGCTGTAAATTGAAGTGACATCATATATATATTACTCCCATTGATCCACTTTTAGACTAGAGCCAGGATAAAAGGAAATGGCATCAGGGAGGAAGTATGCTCATTTAGGCACAGATCCCAGTGTGATAATGGAGTAATAATAGAAATCACGCCACTGTCAATCGGTTGCTGCATTACTCTGAGGCAGATTTCCCCTCCAAGGAGGCTTTCAATGACTTCATTCAAGTGCAGGCAGGAGCAAATGGGATATTCAACATACCAGCTGTACAACTTTAGTGATTTGTGTCCTGGCGGACGGGTGCAGTGCAAGTGCTGGTGCTGTGGATACTCAAGTAGATATATCTGTGTCACATTTCATGGCTGTGAAAGGTCAGTAGTCAAATGTTTCAGTGGCAATTTTTTTCTAGTATAAAGGGTGAATCTGGCATTTATTGCTTTTGTTAATGTAGGAATTGATAAATACGCTCTTTCGCGTGGGTGGTCTTCTGGGATGTGAGGTCGATGACCTCTATAGCTGCTGTACCAGATCTCTGAAGAGGAAAGGTTTGTTTTCTTTGTGCTTTTAACAGATTAGGGATTGGACTTTGAAAATTCATAGTTTTGTTCAAAGATTATTTGTAGTAAACCTTTGAAACCTACTGATGTATGAAGATACTCTTGTAACATAATATAATGTCTTACGTGTTTAGTGTACTGATATGAATAAAATACAAAATACTTTTCTTATTTCTGAGAGATTTAGCATACAGTGAATCTCAGTTACACTTACAATTTGTTTATGTTTTCTTTAATTCTTTCATCTTGTGTTTGTAAAATACAGACACAGTTTTGATATTCCCTATGATTTACAGTTTGTTTTAAGGGTAATAACCTTGTTACTCAAACTTTAAAGCTACCACATCAGGTAACTTAGGGGAAACAGGGAATAAATGGTTGTTTAGTGCCAGGACAAAGTGAACTCTTTCAAATGGCTGAAGAGCTGGAGGAGAGGTTTTACAGTCCTAAGGGCAAGATAATATACAGTGCTGGGATACAGCTTTATAGAGGAAATGATGCTTAATTACATGGGACATGACAGAAAACCTCTATGTGTTTGTGAATATGTGTGCCTGATCACAACATATGCATTTATTTCCTCATTGTAGTGTCGATAGTCACAGCTTAGCTTGGAGAGGGCCAGCCCTGAGAAAAGTAGTATGATTTCCATGCAGCAGGCATAGGTTGGGACAGGAACTATCTACTTTGCAGTATAAATAGATGCTGTATCAGCAGCCACTGATATAGTGAAAACTATTTTGTGATCCTTGCCACATCTCCTGATTGATGTGATCTGCTTTCATAATTGCATATATTTGAAATTTTGATTGAGCGTTCTCTATTATAGCTTGGGGTATGGGGAGGTTATTTTATTTTGTTTTGTTTTATTTTTTTCACTGAAATTTTGCATTTAGGATGTTATGGTTGTTTTCTGAATGTTTTCAGCCTGAAGGCACAGCTTGAGGCTGTGACAATTGTCCTGCTGTAACTTGCTGTATCTGCGTTGTATACATTTGTATGGATGTTAGATATTCAATATGCATTCACAGCCTAGGAGTTGTAAAGGAAAGCAGTTATGCAGTGCTTAAAAAGAAATTTGCATTTAGGTCTCTACAGTGTTTATGTTTGGATAGCATTTAAAGCAAGTGCCTCTTTGTATTAATCAAAAGGCAAATAAATTGAAAACTGACAACATGCACCCCAAATAATTCTCCTGGTATGAAAGATGGAAAGTAACAGGTGGGCAGGACAAATAAGGATGGTGGTAAGAAAACAAAAAACAGTGGGAGTGACGTTTCTGACAGAAAATTCAAGTCCAATTTTTTGATGCTTATTTGTAACCATTGAAAGAATGCTTTGGTGAGAATGATACTCCTGTTGCGTTTGGGAAAAAGAAAATGTCTGCACTCCTGAATGAATTTTGTAGCACCCTCTGTCACGAAACTAGTCGAATTTTCTGTCTCTTGGCCTAAGATGGGGTTTTACGCAGAGTCTCTTCTATTGAAAGGAAAGGGTAAAAGTGTAGATGAGAACATTCCTCTTTTTGTGTTCTAAACAAGTTGGAGAACAAACTGTAATAGCTGCGCCCACTAGTGCCGCTGCGGGGAGAGGTCTGCCAGCGATCCCCTGCCAGCACCCCGCCCTCTCTGCTGGTGTTTCCCAGCTCCTGCCTTGGACTGCAATTAATCCATGAGATGGAAACTGGTATGTAAGGTACATCCTGGACAGCTGGAACGTGGGAAAAAATAGCAGAAGCCGTGGTCTCATTTATAGAATCATAAAAGATGCTGCGTTTGAGGGGGCCCATAAGAATCATCGAGTCCAACTCCTGGCCTTGTACAAGACACTTCAATAATCATACCATATGCCTGACAGCATTGTCCAAACACTTTGTGAACTCTTGGTATTGTTTATTTGTTTGTTTTATTGGGGGTTGGTTTGTTTGTTTTACTGACTATCAAATCTAAATTGATAGGTGTTTAACCTGTAACTCTGAAAAAAACTTCAGCCATGATGCAGCACTAGACAGACATAAATTAAGGACATGGCTACTGCTCTACTGCTGCTCTTTTGTTGGCCTCAATGAGATTCTGTAATGCTACCTTAAACAATAGCTTTCTGTGGGTGAATCCGTGTAGCAATTATACTGGAGATATATTATTAAAAACTCAGCTGTTCTGTACCTACATATTCAAGCAACTGTTCTATAGTTTCTACAAATTTAGTATTGTTCTTCTCTTTTTAGTTAGCAGGGAAAACTTTCTAAATCAGAAGTAACCTTTCTTTGTGTGATGTTCTGCAAAATTCTGTATTTTATTAGTGTTCAGAATTCCAATTCCAAGTAGAGCCACTTCCCAGAAGCTTTCCCCATTGTATTTTTTAACTTGTCTCACCAACCCCCTGGCAGCTGCTGTTGGACTCCATAATAAGCATTTAAGCTGCCATTTTAGTAGTTGTCCTGAAATGAAATATTCAATATTTTTAAACACCTGGCCAGTTTTAAGGATACAATTTGATTGTCAGGCTTTGGTATTACTTAAAAAATGTTCCACTATGAGCTAGTAAGATGAGAGGTATTTTCAGCCTTCAGGAATACAGCTAACTTTACTAATAAAAAAATGGAAGAAAATCAAAATGCAAAGAAACCAAAGCATTATTATAGTAGAGATCTCCTTCCCTCTTTATTCTGATTTAGGTGCTAACCAGTCTAAAAGGGAAGAAAATGTCATGTTGCTAAATTAGTTATTAATGTAGGTATTTTACAGATTAAGACTTAACCAGAAGATCCTTGATATCTTCATGGAATTGCTGTCAGAGATCAAGGATGCAGTCTTGTTCAGTCCACATAAGCAGCCTTGGCTGTGGGATGTGTTGTTGGAAGAGGAATTTCCTATAGCCGACTTAATTTCATCCCTGCTTAGTGCATTGATGCAGCAAAGCGGACTTGGGCAAGCGGTGAGGTGGGAACAGAAAATGATCAAATGTGATGAAAGCTGGAAGTACTGTCAAAGTAACAGGATGTCTTTTTTCTTTAATCTGTCTCAAGAACATTAAAAGTGAACAGGGTTGGTTTCTTTTTGTATGCAAAAGCTTTACTGATATTCTTTTCCCTTCCCCTTTCATCCCCTGGTGCAATGATGAATAGTGGGGAAAGTTTTGGGGCATATAACGAACTTCTGACTGATCACCTTTGAGTCTGAATTTCCAGTAGATGTTTCCTGGCAGCTGCTGCAATTTCTCTCTGAGCTCTGTTTGAATTATTTATTTGTTCATCCAACAAGCCTATTAAACAGAGCACTTAAGCACTGGCTACAACAGAGTTCCTGTGCTGGTTTTTTTCTTTTAGGTTACATTAGGTTCTAGTCAAAATGATAGATTCTGGAGTCAAGCAACTATCTACTGATTATATATCCATGTATAGATGCTATACTGTGTGTGCCAGAAATACAACATTCACGCATATTTCCCATGAAAGAATGGCTGGTTTGTGACTCATTGCATTAAAATATGCCTCAAAATGTGTTTTAGAACAATTGTTTGGTGGGTTGCTTCTTTATGTTGTGTTTCTTTGTTCACTGTAAACATATCATGCAAATGCTTGTATATCAGATAAAAATGTCACTCTAAAAAATTATATATTAATGTCTTGTTGATTCCTCAAATAGTGCACTGTAAATTATTCTCTTTTTATTTCTTCCAAACCCAAACAAAATAGAATTACTTATTTTATATATTCCATAAAAATCTTATTTATTAAGCCATGATTATATTTCAATAATATAAGCATGTTTTAGATCTGACCTAACCATAGCAATGGAAACCATGGAAAATGAGTCCTAACTGTGCCCCAGCACAGTCTTTCAGAACACAGACACATAAACCCTGACATTTTTTCAGAAACCAGCTAGAGGTCCAAGTTGTATTTTAAGTGCATGCTGGAACTACACAGGTTATCAGTCTTGTCCTCTTTGGTTTGTTTCCATTTACATTGCTCACCCAGTACATGTGTTCATTCACACATGGCATTTATTTTTCTTATAGCTTCTCCCTGACCAGCTGGTCTTACTTCTGGAGTCCCTCTTGGAGGAGAAGACATTGTGTCCTAGAATATTGCAGTGCTTGGAGAGAACATACCAGCTCCGGGAGCAAGATGCTGAGGTAAGTCACGCTGCTGTGCTGTTGATCAGGAATGACTGTTCCACTAGGAGCCAGGCTCATTGCAGTTCTTTTTTTCCATGTCTGAATCTGAAATTTGATGATCTTAACCTCCAGTATTGTTGCACCTTCATGGGCTGTAACGACTCAGTATTTCTGTGTATTCTGTGTAAGTTCAGGTGTGTTTTGCGTGCTGTGGTAGCAAATTACAGCACAGCCCAGATGTCCAAAGTATTTTGTACCTTAGGGAGCATATTTGTTCAGGTGTTCAATTTTTCACTACGTTTTTCTGTGTAGTGGAACCCAGTTTGTTTTCATTGTGATACTGTCTCCAAATGTAATCATGTCTGTTATAGTCTAAAATTACTCTTCCCCATTGTCAGCTCGAATTGTTCCTCGTTGCATGCTCCAAAGTCTCACTCAAGATTTAGGAAAGTTAGCTTTCCAGAGAGACTGTGGTGTTTTCTGGTTTGGGGCCTTAATTTAATGTTTTTTACAGTTGCTTCTAGTAAGCCCTAGTGATATTAATAGCCCCTGAGGAAAACACTGTTTTATATGATATTGTAAAGGGTAGCATCCCTGCTCCAGAGTGCTTTATATGTTTGGGAGGCAAACCAGTAAATCTTTATTACCACGTGCAGAGAGGACTCTTTTACGTCCCATGGTTTTCTCGAGCTGTGAGGGTTCTGACAATTAAGGCAGCAGAAGTAGTGGCTGCAAGCACCCTTGCAACAAACCTTTGCTTCAAGTACGTAGTATTCAGGAGGGGAGGTAAGAAATTGCAATCAGTTATGAAAATAAAGGATGTGTACAGATAGATGTGTGTGTGTGCATGTATCTGCATGTGTATATATGTATAAATATATATATAAGTATAAAGGAAGGGGTAATTATGACATAGCATACATTCAAGCTACTGTGCAATGAAGGAATATGGTGAACTTAACATTTGGCTCCTGTTTATTTAAAAACTACCTTGCAGAAGGTTGCAGAAAGCGTGCCTGACTTACCTTGTTATAGTTGGAACTTTGTGGCAATTACTAGAATTGAAGGAGAGAGCAAAATCTTTCTCTCTTATGCTGTAGTTGCTGTGTGGATGCTTGGGAAGACTTGGAATTCCAAATCTTACCCAAATCTAATCTCACGAAGACTGATAGAACAGTTGTTCTTTTTCTATCTTTTTCTCAGAAAAAAAACACAAAAAACAACCAAAAAAGAACATTTCAATTGGTGCTATTTACTGCACCTTTTTACTTTTTGTTGATCCAGTTTTCCAAATGCCAGATTTGTTTTTAATTAGTACTTGAACCGACATTTCTATTTGTGGGCATTAGAATATATTTTAATCACATCTGAATACCAGTGAAATGTCAGTGGTTCTATTATGGGAAGAGGAATTAACAGGGAGCTAGATCAAAGCAATAGCTATGTTGTTGTTGCTGTTTCATGCCTGTGAATTGTAAGCACCAGGCCACAAGCTTCAGTTTCTCAGGTTTTTCCTTTTTCACTTGCATGCTTTTTTTTTTCCTTGCAGTACTTGAAAAGTACACAGTCTGTCAGAATTCTTCTTGTGAAAAAATTCCACAAACCCACAAGATTAGGACCTCTATGAAATGAATGTAATCTCCATTTTATTTTACAAGGTAAAACCAAGGGTTTAGCAAGACAACTCACTTAGAAGTATGACTAAGATAACATTACTATTAGCATTTTACCAGTCATCAGATCCCAGACACCTACAGTTCTTTATAGGGAACTAGCTTCCATGGCCTCACCTACATGTAGAACAGACTATTTGTGCCTCGTTCTCATGTATGTGCACAGGGGATTTTTGTTCTTGTAACCCCAGGTCAAAGAATTGCAGTCTGAGCCTGTTCTTATATAGATTTAATTTGTCAAGACACAAATCACTTATAGTGATCCTGTTGTGCTGCTGGAGTTCAAATGTTCTCAGTAACTAAACATCAGAAATTAATTTTTAAAAATAAAAATGTAAAAAAATTGTAGGCAGGTCAATAAAAGGAAGAAAACTGTCAGTGTCAGAGGGTTTTTTCCAAGATTTTTGGAAATGAGGTTATCAGCTGTGTTTCATCCAGCAGCAGAAAGTTAAGAAATAAACTTTTTGTCTTGTTTTTGAAAAGTAATGTTTAAATTCACAATCATCTTCCAGTAGGGATATGCAATGATAGTGCCAATAGTGGAAAAGGGTACACAAAATACTGTGTTTTTTTCATATTTTCACAAAGTTTGGACTTAAAGTCTGTACATAATTATTTTGAAGATTATTACTGGGAGTCCTTCTGTCCTGCACAAGTATAGCATGGAAAGTCCTTGTTCATATTTCTTAAAGCTTTTCTGTCTGTATTACTGAAGCATCTTTATTTTGACCTTAAAATTGACCACACTTCTTTTAGTAAAGCATTGCATACTTGGTGGCGTCTGCACCTGCCCATAGCAAAGTGCTGTGGGTCTGTCCCCAGCCAGTGGAAGCTGCCAACAGCACTATTTGGTACTCCTGACTATTTGTTACCATGTACACATCCAGACTTAACAACCTGTGGACACAGATTCTTCAGAAAGGAGTGGAGGGTTTGCAGCAAGTTATCTGCCTTGTTTTGATTCCTTTGTATCAGTCGGGAGAGGAGAAAGGTTAGAGGAAGCCTTGGCCTGGAATATAAAGGTTGATCTCTGTTGAAGAGAACTCCTCAGCTACTCAGTGTAGTTCCCATCCTCTCTCAAATTAGGTTCCAATGCAGATACTCAGGCTCATTGTTTATCTCCCTTCTAAGACACTGATTTGAGTGCTTCTTTTAACAAACAAAGAATAAATCATAGGTTAAGTAACATATTTGTGATCCATAATGTATAACTTTTGAGCCGCAAGAGCCAGAACTGCAGATGGCTTAATCACATTTCAGACTGGTCTGTGCCTCGTCTTGGATGCCAAGAGAGGCTTGCAGGGCATCTGCCAAATTGCAGAATTTGTGACTCCTTTCCACTTTTTGCAGTCTACTTCTGTAACAAATAATTATTTAATTTTCCATTTTCTCCTCAAACCTTGGAACATCTGAGAAAACACAAAACTGCAAGTTTGTTTTCAAAAGATTAAATTAATTGGTCTGAGCTATTTGAATTAAGAATATCCAAGAGATCTTTGTTTTGAAAGCAATGAAGGTTTCAACTTTTAAAGCCATTTTTCAATTCTTCTCTCTGTGCCTTGGCTCAGACAAGTGGTATCAGACAAGTGGAAAGCAATTCCATGGAAGAATGATTGTGTCCTCAATTTTATCTTCCTGTTCCCCTATCTTGGTGTGCTTCTTCCCACTACATAACAAAATAACTCGTGCGCAGGCTACATCTCCATGACATACCACATCTTGCATCCAAGAGGAGCATTATAGAAGCTGGCTGCATTTTGAACATGACACAGTCCAGCTGGAAGTTCAGCTGGCTGGGGAGAAATGGGATATGTTATAAAGCAGCATCCACAGTTGCCATCAGACAGCACAGTAGGATAATGAAATTTAAAGCGGGTCTGGGGTTGGTTTTGTTTTTTTTCTTTCCAAGGTGGCTGTTCTGTGCAGCTGTTTCATTTATTCAATATCTAGCGTCTGGTAGAATGTGGAGAGTTGGTCTACATGGAAAGATTTGGGTGGCTAGTATTTTTTTAAATCTGTCTAACCTTGATGACGTCCTTTCTGATATGATAGTGCAATCTTATCTCATTGAGAACTTTCATATAAATAGAGTCAGTCATTTACAAAAGACAACACTGTGAGATCTGAGCTAACACTCAATGAATCTCTTAGCTAGAGGAGCTCTCACATCACTCCCCTTATTTCTGTTCTTCACTTGGTCAGAGTGGTGAGTGGCCTGCAGAGTAGTGAAAAATGTGACAGGAAGATCACAGCCATCAGAGAAGAAAAGTGTGTGTGACACTTTCAGTCCTCTTTAAGACCTGACAATATTCTGCAAGAGGGTTTTATTTGTTGCTGAATTATTTAAGAAGTGGTGATAAAAACTACAGGATGTGGATGAAGCAGAAATATTTATGGTGTATTTCCCCAGATTTTTTACTGTAGAGTTAGCCTTCCTTCCTTTCCTACTGTAGATATCTCTTTTATCTTGCCTGCACAGCATATGGAAAGTTGCTTTGTTGGTTATCCTTGTCTCAGCAAGTTGACTGAAATGCTCTTCACTTACATAATGCTTTCCCTGTATTTGGGATCAAATGTGGCATATTTTGGAGAGAGAAGAGAAACTATAACTCTTTCTGCAGTAAATGTGAGTAAAATGAGTTAAGATCATAATATCATCAGTCATGTGGGTGGCATAAAGCAATTCTCACACAATAACTTCATTGTGCATGAGGTCTGCCTGTGAGACCAAGGTTATAAAACGGTGGCATCTTATTTCACTGACAGAAATGCAGTCACACTAATACAAACCATTGAAGGTGCTTGGCATCCTAGAAGTGGTGAGAATTGTGTTAGGACAAAATAACTTTGATTCATTGGTCTTTCCTAGCCTGTGAAAAGCTGGCAGACATGGAAGTACAAGTGAGTTCTTGTCATTTCCCATCTGATGGTGACTGTGTTGAGCTGAGCACATTCTCAGGTTGCATAATTCAGCTGTCCTGCTGATTGTGGATGGGCATTGTTTGAAGTCACACTTATGGAACAGAGCTCTGCGGACAATACCATAAAACTGTGTGAGAAAAGGGAACTGCTTGGGGAAGGTCACTGCACACTTGCAGAAGGCACTTGGAGAGCTTTCCTTTCAGCACAGCCACTGGGCCAGTCCTCCCTTGAGGCAGGGACTCAGAAGCAGTCTCCAGCTTCTGAGTACAACACAATTAGTAATGTGTTGCAGATGCCTCCACAGGCTTGTCCGTCCTTCTTGACTATACTGTGTAGCAACAGGTAGGCATATTTCAGACAGTGGCATTGCAAGCACAGAGGGAGAGCCATGGTTCTTTTCCTTAACTGATGTCATTCTTGGTA